GTGGCGTTGGCTCCTTGTCTGGGAAGGTGGCTCTGGCCTGCATGTCCAGACTTGATGCCACCAGGATCTCCGAGCCCACAGGCAGCAGGCTAGGGTCAGTTCCAGTGGGCACCAGGTTGCCATTGGCTACAACCACTGCTTTGGGTAAAGGTCTGTGTTTTACTGGTTCCTGATGGGACTGAGGGTACAACACACGGGCCTGATTTTTTTCCACCAGTTCTGTAGGATTCCTGGCTGACCCTCGTCCCTCACCCTGATGGTCAAGGGTATGATGGGATAGGTTAAGAGGGCTAGATTCATCTTTCCTCTGAGCTGCCACCACACGATAGTCCTGAGAAGCTAAAGCGCCAACTACACGCTGGACCTCAAGGTCGGTGTCTGGGGTCCCTCTGCGTGCTGGTGCTGCCACCTCCACTCGCGGAGTCTGAGAACCTGAAAACAACTGTCCATCCACCACGCATTCTACCACCGGCACCAGTCCTTGGCTTTCACCCTTGCTGCTGATGGAGTCAAGGGCTTCACTTTCTCGCCTTACACTTCGTTCTCGCTGTCTCTGTCCATTGGCAGCAGCTGCTTCCAGAGCAGGCTGGCCCTCCTGAGGGGTAAGAATGGGGCTGGCACCTGCTGTTGGAGTTTCATGCAAGGTATATCCAGCAGGTAGCCTAGACATTTGATAATAAATGGGCATCCGGCCTGGAGCAAGATCCAGTGGTTGAGTGTTCGGGTGATGTGGCACCTGGCCGGGTGGGGAGGTGGCAGCAGAGGACTTGTTGAATGACGGGGCTGGGGATGCAGCCTGCGGGGGAGGAGTAGCTTCTTCTGCTAGGAGTGAGGCATATGGCACAAAGTGTGGAAGGTGAGTGGTAGCAAGGCTGGCAGAAGGAGAAAGGAGAGGACTGGGTAGGAAATTAGGTGGCACAGCATAAGGAAGGCTATAAGGAGAGCCAATAAACTGCAGTGAGGTGGATGGGAGCTGAGCATAGTGGACTGGGGGATAATGGATTCCTGGATGTTGAATCAGTGAAGACGCTACATTAAATGTGGTGGGTAAGGGGCTCATGTTCACAACAGATGGGAGGCCAGTTGGTGAGAAGGTGGCAGGTGGCACAGCCACCTTATACAGCATGCCATACTGATCTACTGTCAGACCAGTGATGGCCTCAGTTCCATCACCCCCGAGGCTGACTCTGGCTCCTGTCTGGCTCTGACCAGCGACCACAACCCCTCGGGACCATTCAGGGGCATCACTGGAGGGTGTGTGGTTTGTGGAGCAGCTGGTGGTTCTCCCCATATCCTCGCTGGTCACAGGGAGGTCTCGTTTCTTTGGTGGAAGGCATTCCTGACTCCTCTCATGAACAGGTTTCATATTGCTGTGTGGTGTTGCTGGGGCCTGGATGGGGCTTGCCTGCTCCTTCGGGCATCAGAAGGGACTTCTCTGTGGCTCCCTGCACACCTCTCTGCTGCTGGCTGGGGTGCCCACATCTGCCAGGGAATAAACCAGAGGCAAAGAAAGTGACCTAGAAAATCAAGTCAAACAAAATATCAAGAATTGCACCCAAAAAGAAAGAAGGAAGGAGAGTGGCAAAAAAAGGGGGAATGAAGAAACAGCAGAAAAGAAAAAAAAATGTAACTAATGAGAATAATAATAAGAAAAAAAAAAAGAAACAGCAGAAATGGAGGCTGTCTCTTCACCTGTTAGCCTAAGACAAGAAAAAAAAACAGTCAAAAAAATCCACAAAGAGCTATGAGGATGAACATTCAAGATACATAAATGACCTAAAGGCTCCATAATCTCTCACTATCAACTTCTGGGTTAGTTATGCTTTTCATGAGGCCCTTAACTCTTCTCAGGCTCCTCCCTTGAGTGAGGCTTTGAACACACATCTTTGCTGCTGGCTCTTTTCTCCATTTCTCCTTTTGCTATCACAGTCTAATGTGCCATCTTCTTTCCCTAAATGTATGACCTCATTCTTGCGTCCTTACTCCAGCTTAATTTGGGTTATGATCTCACCTGCTCCCATTGCTTCTAACCCCAAGACTGGCTAAAGTCATGTTACTGAGTGCTGAGGTTTTCTTGTCTCTTTGTTATTATGAAAAGTTGTTCCAGAAATGTATAATGAAATGTGTTTTTTTTTTTTTTTAAATTGTTGTTGTTCTACGAAACTTTAAATTCCAATTCGGATCCCATGAGAAAAGTGATTATATCAGCTTGCTCTATAGCTTGTTTCTCCTCCACCCGACCAACCAAACAACTGTGACCTCACACAGACTTCCTGTTCTCTGGTCTAAAAGACTTTTCTCACAGATCACCTTCAATTTGCCTTCTTTTTTTCATCTTTGTTTCTTCTGCCCACGGCTCCTCATCCATTGTAGGTCTGCTCTAAGTATTAAATCATAACATTCTGGCTTTGTTTGTCCATACACATATGTTTATTTACTATTTTAAGACTATATGATTCAGAAGAAAGCTTTCTCTCCCCTTTATTACTGTCAATTTCTGTAATCACTTTTTTTTTCTTCTTTTTCTGAGACAGGGTTTCTCTGTATAGCTCTGGCTGTCCTGAAACTCGTTCTGTACATCAGGGTGGCCTCAAACTCACAGAGGTCCTCCTGCCTCTGCCTCCCAAGTACTGGGATTAAAAGTGTACGACGTCTTCTGTAATCACTTTTATCCACTATCAAAAAGCTTCCTTTTAAGGCTGCTGTGATGGCACATGAATAAAATCCCAGCACTTGGGAAATGGAGGCAAGAGTTCAGAAGTTTCAGGTCACCCTTAGCCACATAATGAAATTAAAGGCCAGTGTGAGCTAAATGAGAACCTTTTAAAAAAGCAAACAAAGAAAAAGAGAGCATCTTTTTCGTATGAACATTTCAATGTATGTGAACTTTGACAATAATTTTTCTACTATCATGTGTCAGGTGTTTTTTTCTACAACAAGGACTGCAAAGTGCTTCTATTACCTGAGCTTCTGGTGGTGCTTCTGAGCTGCTGTGGTAAGTGTCCTCCCCTCTGGCTTGGGAGCCTAAAAGACATAAGGAGGAGGTAAGCAGGAGTCAGACCTCTCTCACCTTCCTCAGGGTCATCATGAAAGGCAATTCCAAAGCCACCATAAATAAGCAGATAGGTAGATAGATAGATAGATAGATAGATAGATAGATAGATAGATAGAATCATTAAAGTCCATGAGTTCTTGCTTCATTCTCAACCCAAGAGGTAGTAATGCAGTTACCTAGAATGCTCGGGAAACTGAAGAGGGAAAAAAAAAAAGAAAAATCTGAGGCTAGTGAAACGGCTCAGCAGGCAAATGTACTTGCTGCCAAACCCAATGACCTGAGACCCATTCCTGGGACCCAAGCTGCTGAGAAAAACTCCTGAAAGCTGGCCTCTGGCCTCCACACACAATTAAAAACAAAACAATAAACAAAAAGGGGGAAAAATCTCTTATGCTTTAATTTTTGTGAAATATTCCTGGAAAGAAATTTCTATATATCAAATTTCTTTTTTTATTGTTTGTTTTTCAAGACAGGGTTTCTCTGTATAGCCCCTGGCAGTCTTGGAACTCACTCTGTAGATCAGGTTGGCCTCAAACTCACTTTGCCTTTGAGCGCTGGATTAAAGACTTTAGCCACCACTGCCTGGCTTCCATGTATCAAATTTCTTTATCATTCTCTTCCTTATTCCCAATGATTATACCCACTTCCAAACCAAATTTAAATTCACAATTAAAATAGGAGACTTAATACTGTTTGCATGTGAACAATGAGAAGCAGGAGTTTCACCTTTATTAAGGACCTATGAATACACAAATGTAGAGATTATTTAAATAAGAAAACTGGCACTAGAGGAAAAGGAACAATTATTTATGTTTCTGGGGCAGAAAAAGAGGTCAAGAGGGAGTTACTCAGAGCGAAAGCCATATTAACAGATTTGCTAAGTAAAATTAAAAGGGCAAGTGTGTGTGCACAATTCACAAGTGCCTGTGCATGCACACATGTAAAACTTTCTAAAGTGACAACTTCACACTAAGTACTGAAAGAGAGGTGAAAGAAAATGAAAACACCACTTTGATTCTATGTAGCTGACAATGGGAACAAAACTATTACTAAGCTAGCAATATATGAATCTACATTTGCCATAAACATCAATAATTTAAAAAACATGGGTTTTTAAGGTTCCGGATGCAGTTCAGTAGGTAAAGTGCCTGCCTAGCAAGCATCAAGCCCTAGGTTTGATCCCCAGCACCACACAGATTGGACACGACGGCGGACACTCGCAAGCCTACTACTACTTTTGAAGTAGAAAGAAGAGAATCGTAAATTCAAGGTAATCATCAACTACATTCAACTATATAGCAAGTCAAAAGTCAGCCTGGGCTCCATAAGACTCCGTCTCAAAGGAAAACAACAAAACATACACAAAAAACGCAGCCAACAAAGTCTCTTAGCAACTGAGCACGGAGTTAGCAGTATTGACTAGTACTGAGAAACTGCTGCCTGTTCTGTCAAAGTCACACAGAATATTGCAAGCTCGAGCCAAGTGAAAGCAACTCTGACCCAAGACTGGCATGGTTCAAGAGTACACAAAAGATGGAAATGTGCAAAAATAAATTTCTAATGCTATAAAAAAATCACAAAGTGGATACCAGTCATGCATTCATTCTTTACCAAAAGTTTAATTGAAAGCACTCAGCTTTCTTTCATTTTCTTAATCCCCCAAACGGTGCGTGCCCTCTGTAGCCAAGACAACTAAGAAAACCTGTCTTTGGGTCACTGAGGAGTTAGCAAACACAAGATAATGAAAGGACGGAAAGAGGCAAAGAAGACAGTCAAGACAGCGCACCAGGTTCCGACAAGGCAAAACATTTCAGAATCTGAAACCTGGGTGTGGGTGTACGGAGCAGCTTCAGAGAATTTCTCATGGGAAATGACACAACTTGTGAACCCAGCTGAGCTAAGGGGCAAGAGAACCATTCCAGAGACCTGCCAACAGAGCCGAGAACGCAGCTCCTCTTCACTGAGAGAGACCCGAATTCACGGAGGGGGAAAAGGTGCGCCCCACAAAAAGGGAGCCGCCTCGTAGAGACACCAGGGGCAATGGCTTTGGATGATCTCTCAATCCCTGTTCCGAAAGGGGTAAGGCTTGAACTGGGGGATTCTACGTTTAGGGAGTAGGGGGTCGGACGTCGGGCTGGGACCAGGCCCGGCTGGCGACGCTTCCTTGTTTGGGGGGCCCTTCCCGCCCTGAAAACTCGGACATCCTGGCCCGAAGGGACAACACCGCTGGGATATCAGGGCCTGAAGCCGCCTTCCGGGCCAGGCGGGAAAGCAGCATCTAGAGGGCTAGGCACGGCCTCTTTCGCTCTCTCTGCCCGCTGTTTGGGGGGCGCTTGGCCCGCAGGGGCAACGGGCTTCTAGGGGGCCCTTCCACCGGAGCTCCGAACCCAGGCCTGCTTGGCCTCAGACCAGCCCAGCGGCCACCGCTCCAGGCCCCACTCACCGGCCCATCTCACGGAGCTCCCAGGACTCCTCCCGCTCGTCCCGGAGCCGCCGCCGCCGCCGCGGCCGCCGCCATCCCCGGCCCCGGAGCCGCCCCACACCCAGCGGCCCCCCCCAGCCGGGCGCACGGAGATGGCGTCAAGCGCATCCCGCCCCCCGACGCACAGAGATGACGTCACGCTCCCGCCGGGGAGCGCCGCCTATCTTTGAGAGGAGGAAATTGGCCGCCTGCCCATCTTGTCCAACGCCCCCTTTGGTGGGAAAATGGAACACCTACCCCTCTGCATGGGTCTAGTGAGTAGGAGATCTCCTTAAGCCCCCAGGCTTGGTTTCCCTAGAGAAGTTTTCACAAGCCATCACTAGAAATCCAGACAGTGGAGATCCCTGGGGAGCTCTGAGAAGACCCAGAATTTACTAGACTGGAAAGTGGAAGGGTCATTCTAGGGTCAGGGTGAGACCTTTTCAAGGGTCAAGAGCCTTACAAAGTTAGAAATAACCCGAGGCAGCCAAAACTGTGAGCCCTGTGCAGGACCTAGAGAAAGATGATGGAAATCGTGTGGGGAATGAGAAGAAAGGATTTGGTTTAGTACAGCAGAGAGCAGTTTGGTTTAGTGAACAGAGGGTTTGGCTCCTGGTTTGAAATACTGTCACCTATTAATGCCAGTTCACACTAACTCTAGTAAGTACTTGGATGAAAAAGTGATTTGGCTTAAGTGAAAGCAAAAATGAATGGCTGATTGGAGGGGGCAGGTTTTGTTTGTTTGTTTTTTGAGACATGGTTTCTCTGTGTAGCCTTGACTGTCCTGGAACTCACAAAGATCTCCCTGCCTCTGCCTCCCAAATGCTGGGATTAAAGGCATGTGCCACCACCACCTGGTTCTGTTTTTTTCTATAGGGTCTCAAGTAGCCCAAGCTGGTTTTGAGCTATGTATCTTAGCTTGAACTCTTAATCCTCCTGCCTCTGGCTCCCAAGTGATTGTAAATCGAGTGTATTTGTTACTTTTCTATTGCTATGATGAAAAACCATGATCAAGGCAACTTACAGAAGAAGAATTTGAGTTTACTGAGAGGGTTAGGAATCCATTGTGGTGGGAAAGTATGGCAGCAAGCAGCAGCCATAGCGGGTGGAGCAGAAGCGGAGGGCTCACTGAAAAGCACAAAGCGGAGAGAGTGAACTGGGAATCGCCTGTGGCTTTGAACCTCAAAGCCCACCCAAGTGACATACTTCCTTGAGCAAGGACACACCTCCTAAAACCACCTTAACATCAACACTAACTGTGGACCAGGATTTGAACGTCTGAGCCGTTGTGGGAGTTTCTCTTTCAAACCACCACAGCAGGCATGCACTGTCACATTTGGCTAATACTTGACCTTGCCTTCAAGCTACAATTATATTGAAAAGGTGGTTAGGCCTGTTTTATACAAACAAACTGAACAGAAGAGAAGCTGGGGGGGGGGGTGTGCATTGTAAGGAAAAAGTTAAAGGTTTTTTTTTTTTCCCTCCCTTTTTAGTGGCTGTTCAATAAATAGCTATGGTGTTTGTTGTCTTTAAAGTACTAGTTGTGGATGTAGCCTAGTAGCACCCATGAGTGCGTGGGTTCACCCACTAGAACAGAGCACAATGGGACTAGGTGGTGAATGCCTATAATCCTAGCACTCTGGTGATAGAGGTAAAGAGGGTCAAGACTTCAAGGTCATCCAGCTGCCACTACAGAAGGCCCTGTCACCCAAACGATCAACCACAACAACAAAACCACACACATGCATTCAACACACACACAAAGCACGAGCTGAAGGAGCTAGTGTCTGGTCCCTATGTATGGCTGTCTGACTTTTTTTTTTTTTAAAGTACTTTAAGTTCACTACTAAACTCATGGGAGGAAGATGTAGAGAGAATTTCCAAAAAAGGCTAAACATGGTTGCCTATAATCCCAGCAGTTGAGAGGCTGAGGCAGGAGGATTGCTGCAAGTTCAGGCCAGGTTGGGCTACTCAGTGAGACCTTGTCTCAAAACAAAACAAAAAACTTCCCAAACATTTTGTGCAGTGGGAAAAAATGGCAAGAATGTATAGTATATCGTGTATATAATATTAAAAGACACGGCTTATTTATATTTGTATAGAGAAACAGTAGGATGCATCGCTAGTATTTCTGGAGAGGAAAGTAGAACTGGGCTGGTGGTTAAAAAGAAGAAAAGTGCTGGATGTTACTCTTAGAATTGTTGCAAGAGTATTATCTTAGAAAAATAGACCTGGTAGCACCTGCCTGTCATCCTAGCAGAAGTAGCAGGAGCTCATCATTAGCTATCCAGTCAGCTTGGAGCCAGTCTGGATCCAGCTGGGATTACATAAGAGAGACCCCCCCACACACCGCCATTAAAAACAAACAAACAAAAACCCCAATACCTAACTACCTGCATGTGTGTCTGTGTGTGTGTGTGGGGGGGGGGGTTAGGTGGGGGTTGGGAACCCAAGTCCAGTCTTCTGCAAAAGCAGCATTTCGATTGCTGACCCTTCTCTCCAGCCCCTCCTCGCCAATTATTTTGTCCTTTTTTCCTGGGTTTTCAGCTTTAAGAAGAAAACAAAACTCTTGAAGCTGGGCAAGGTGGCACACACCTGTAATCCCAACACTTGGGGAGGCAGAGGCAGGTGGATTTCTGTGAGTCTAGCCTGGTCTACAAAGGGAGTCCAGGACAGCCAAAGCTACACAGAGAAACATTGTCTTGAAAAAAAAAAAAACAAAAACAAAAAAAACTCTTTTATCTTTTAGCTATCTCTCTTCAATCTGGAAGTCTTTCATTTTTTCCCTCTGTGTTTTACATTGCTGCTGAGGGTTTTTAAAGTTATTTGGGTCACATGACATGGGGACTGGAAAGTTGAACTTCCCGTTCTCTGAACGTATTTACTGAATTCCTTTGTTGTGTGAAGTTGAAATTCTTGTGATGGGAGAGCTTGAACTCTGTGATAGAAGTAAACACAAGAGAAAACCTTGCTATGCTGGTTATTCCTCTCCCTAAGACAGCAGGAATTTGAAACCCACAGTCACCTCGTTCCTCTCTGATCACTGTACACCTGCAGCACAGGCAGAGGGAGCTCAGAAAACTTCCCCAAATGTGTGTGAGTGACGTTAGGGATTGAGCCAGAGAGGACACTGCCAACTTGAGAAAACATCCACATCATAGCAAGAGGAGGAAGTGGCTTAAGTGACCCTTTCTACACTGTCACATCTCCCTTTTTGAATGGCTAAGGACGTAAAGCGTCATTTTAGGAAAGGAACGCTATCTTCAGACACCAGCAACAGAAACAACTAATCCCAAACACACTCTGAGCTAGTTAGTGCGCATTTGCCCCTAGCATTAGATTGTTGTTTTTCTTTTTTCCGAAAGCTTTTGTATGTAAAATGTTATTAATATGGATATAAATGCAAAATTAGTATGGCAGCACAGGGAAATATAACAACACAGGGAAACTATGATTTATTTAATTAACCTTAAGCACAATACTGAGCAATTATTACTCCACACTAAACCACCAAGCTAGTCCAGCTTCCTTCTAGCCCAAATCCCCATCACACTTGGATTTTTTTTTTTTTTTTTTTTTTTTATCCTCGCCTGGCTTCAGTTCTCTTCTCCTGATGCTTCCTAGACCTCGCCTCCTATTTCCTGCCTCGGCTATGGGCCATTAGCTTTTTATTGACAGGTGCTGCTTCCACACAGGCACAACGGCTTCCCTCTGTACTCGCTGTCCAGGTAAGTACACATTGCACACGTGCAGTAGACAAGCTGTTTTACCTACTTCTCTATGTATCATCATCTCCTTATGGCCTTTTAGGTCATGTGACCTCTCCCGCTTGCAGGGGAGATTTCCCTTTCAGATTCATTAAGAGTTTATTTGGGGGTGGGTTATAATTTTTCACTACGATTAACCTGTTCTTATGGGAAAGGGCTCTCTTTTGTCTGTTTCCTCAGATATTTGCCTAAGACTCTGGGCATTTGTGTCCAAAACAACCTGCAGCACTCTCAAAGGTTGCAGTAAAACACTGACAAAGCCATGGATTTTGGCCCACTCCTGTGACTCCAGTACTTGAGAGGCTGAGGCAGAAGGATTACTACTAGTTTAAGGCCAACTTGGGCTATATATGAATTTGAGTTTATACCAAGCAGCATGACAAGATCCTATCTCAAAAAACAAAAACACAAAATCCAAAGAATCTGTCCGATAATTAGAATACGCTGAAGGAAACCTAGCCTCAAAATAATTAGTACCGAGCCAAGTGTGGTGACACACACCTTTAGTCCCAGCACTCAGGAGGCAGAGGCAGGTGGATCTCTGAGTTTGTGGCCAGCCTGGTCTATATAGCAAGTTCCAGGACAGCCAGGACTACACAAGGAAACCCTGCCTCAAAAAATCAAAATAATAACTATTATATTTATTATTTAATATATTATTGTTTTAACAAAATATCAATTGTTTGATTTTTGCCAATAAAGACTCCGGAACCAGGTGCTGGGGTGGAAGCTTGCTAGCTCAGAGGACGAGAAAGCACACAGTTGACCTTCCTCCTCAGCTGACACCTGAAAAAGAATGCCCCCTTCTTCTACACCATCTCAAACGAGACTCCTCAAAGTGAATGTCCCTCCCTCCTACTTCATATGTGTCTCTATTCATCTTCTTGACTTTCTCTTCCTTTCTATGGTTTTTTTCTTAATAATCCTATGTTCACTTCCTGTCAACTGGTTGCTTGCTCTGCCTCTTGACCTATGGTTGACTTTATTTTAATCTGTTTACAATATTCAAATAGAAAGCTCTTGATTTAAGGTGTGTGCTAAGGATGAGCCACACCGCAACTAGAAACAGGCTTTTCCAGGAAGTAACAAAATCTCAGGGTTCATAGTGTGATCACATATCCTGCAACAATATATAGTGATATGTTTATTATTATTTTTACAGCCTGGGTATGGTGGCTCACGCCTTTAATCCCAGCACTCAGGAGGCAGAAGCAGGAGGATCTCTATAAGTATGAGGCCAGCCTAGTCTATATAATGAATTCCAGGACAGCCAGGAATACAGAAACTCTGTCTCAAAAAAAAAAAAAACAAAAACTAACCAAACAAAAAGTATTAAAATGGGGTGTGAGAGAGAGAGAGAGAGAGGGGGGGGGGTGAATGTGAAGGTCAGAGGATAACTTGCAGTTGGTTCTATCCTTCCACCGTGTGGATCCCAGGGACCAAATTTAACATGCTTGGCCATGCACAAAATCTTGATTTGAATTAAAAGACTGAAAAATCTAAACAGGCCACAGAGAAACAAATACATTCGGGCCACTCTTGAGCCACCAAGAATTCCTTACATGGAATTCTTTGAAACGAATGGCGTGGATGTGGGAAAATCCGAGTCTCCGAATACACTTTCTACTTACTGTAGGAGGCTTGCTCAGCAAGGCGATTTGTGACCTGCAATGCCTTGGAGTATAAGCATGTCCAAATCCTCTTTCTTTTGGTTTTTGTATGGTCTGTATGTTTGTTTGTTTTTGAGATAAGGTTTCCCTGTGTAGCCCTGGCTGTCCTGGACTCACTTTGTAGACCAGGCTGGCCAGGAACCCACAGGCATCTACCTTCCTCTGCCTTCTGAGTGCTGGGCTTAAAGGAGTGGACCAGTACCTCTCAGCTCCAGCTCTGCTTTCAAAGCTCATTGCTCTCAGGTTGATTTACAACAAGTTATCAATTGCCTGAGCCTTCTGGGGGAAATAAGAGAAGAAAGGTTAAGCAAATATTCCCTGCAACCCTGCTAGCTGTCTCTTTGGCACTGTGAAATCCCCACGGTGATAAAATCTTCTAAGCCTTCACTTAGACATTTTGGAATGTAAAGGAATGTTTCTGGCCTTCAGGAATGTGCTAGTTGCTTACTAAGGTGATCTACTTGTTCCAAAGGTTTCCACAAACTGTTCTGTGTCCTGACTGGGTCAATGTCAACACTCTGGTTCTAATAGCCCACTCCAGTCTTCCAAGATACTGCTTTTTGAGAAAACCTCATAAAGAGAACTCCTGATCTCCCTGTGGTATTTCTTACAACACAGGGATCACAGGTAATCTCTAATTATCACACACACAAAGTTTAACTTCAAGTTTCCAGAGGTTTAAAATATAACATGACCACATTCCTGGCTCCTTTGCACTGAAATGGAACATTATCTGGTCAGTGTTGTCAGAGTTACAGTAGCAAATTTTTCTGGAGTGGCTTCTTAGCTATTTTTAGAAAAAAGTTATTGCTTCTGCCATGTGATAGCTTATGTGGCGTTTCACTGAGGAGCAAGGACAGCAAGGTGCCTTTTCCCCCATGTGACTTGTTTTCTGTTATCTTCACTATTTCTCATTCCAGTGCTCCACACAAATCATTATCATCTCTATTCACAGAAAAACTTGACATCTTTGATTATGAAGATGGTTTAGGAAGCTGGGAGTGGTGGCACACGCCTGTAATCTCAGCACTCAGGGAGGCAGAGGCAGGCGGAGCTCTATGAGTTTGAGGCTAACCTGGTGTACAAAGTGAGTCCAGGACAGCCAGGGCTACACAGAGAAACCCTGTCTCAAAAAAAATGGTTCAGGTGAAATAAATATTACACTTAATTGCAGTCCTCTGGATAGTGCAGCAGGACAGTAATCCCTGCTACTCAGGGCCACAAGTTTAAAACCAACATGGGCATCTTAGGACGACCCTGTATCAACAACAACAATTACAAAAAAAAAATGTCTGAGGTATGTATGGTTCAGGGAGCCCTGGATTCAACTATCAATGCCACAAGCAAAGAGAAACGCAGGGAGTTCTCTGCGCAGGAAAATGGTCCTCCCATTATTTGCTGGTAGGGAGACAGCTTTAAACTTTAATGCTGATTTAAATTATTATTATTGTTATTTATATTTTATATGTATGTCTTTTGCCTGCATGTGTATATGTGTATTATGTGTGTGCAGCACACAAGAAAGCTAGAAGAGGGTGTTGGAACCTCTGGAGTTGGAGTTGCGGTTGGTAGTGAGGCATCCATGGGTGCTAGAGACTGAACCTGGGTCCTGTGCCAGAACAATAGTACTTAATTGCTGAACCTCTGAACCCTCTCTCCAGCCCTGGTTTTATTTTATTTTTTGTTTTTTTTAATTATTATTATTACATTAACTCTTTCTTTCTGTTTTCTTTTTCTTTTTGATTTTTCAAGACAGGGTTTCTCTGTGTAGCCTTCTGCTGTCCTGGACTTTCTTCATAGACCAGGGTGGCCTCGAACTCACAGAGATCTGCCTCCCTCTGCCTCCCTGAGTGCTGGGATTACAGGCGTGCACCACCACACATTAATTTTTTTACATGAAATAAATTACATAATATTTTATACGTAGGGCTGTCTTGCTTGAGTGTATGTCTGTGCACTGCATGCATGCGTGTCGAAAAGGCAAAAGAAGGGCATCGGATCCCCGGAACGGTAGGTACAGAAGGCCGTGAGCCACCACATGGATGCTGAGAACAGAACCTAGGTCCTCTGGAAGAACAGCCAACACTCTTAACCACTGATCCATGGATCCAAATTCTTTTATTACATTTTATTTACTTATTTTGTGTGTACGTGCTGGGTGGGGCTGGCTTCATCCTAAGGAGCATAGGCGGAAGTCAGAGGACAACTCAACTAATTTTGGGTTAGGATCTCCAACAATTTCTGAAATTACTCTAAACACACTTCCGCCAGTTTTCCCCTACATATTAGTGCAAATCAGCATTCTTTGCATTGATGGTTATGAGGTCAAAATTTTTCAAACTGTGAAAAATGTGGAAGATGTTCTCTGTCCTGCAGTATCTATGATTTCATTCTTTATACAAAAAGAAACATGCAGATAGATCCTATTAGCATGTGTGGTGGTTGGAATGAAAATGGCCCCATAGGCTCATAGGGAGTGGCACAATTAGGGTGTGGCCTTATTGGAGTAAGTGTGGTTTTGTTGGTGAAAGTGTGTCATTAGGTGTGGACTTTAAGGTTTCAAATGCTCAAGTCGGGCTCAATGTCTCTCTCTCTCTCTCTCTCTCTCTCTCTTCCTACTGCCTCAGGACCCAGATGTAGAACTCTCAGCTCCTTCTCCAGCACCATGTCTGTCTGCATGACACCATACTTCCAGTCATGAAAATGATGGACTAAACCTCTGAACTGTAAGCTAGCCCTAATTATTATTATTATTATTATTATTATTATTATTATTATTATTATTATGGTTTTTCAAGACAGGGTTTCTCTGTGTAATAGCCCTGGCTGTCCTGGACTCGATTTTTAGACTGGGCTGGCCTTGAACTCACAAAGATCCTCCTGCCTCTGCCTCCTAGGTGCTAGGATGCAACCACCCCAGCCCTTACTCAACCTTAATGAAATGTTTTCTTTTATAAGAGTAGCTGTGATCATGGTGTCTCTTCACAGCAATAGAAACCCTAACTAAGACAGTATGCAAATTTACTTTCACTTTTAATGAATGGTGACAGTACATGTATTCAAAAATTATTTTAAGATAAATTTCTTTATGTTTTTGATCAGTAAATGCTTGATTTATGTATCTGTTTGTATACCTCCATAGATAGTATGGCATAAAAAATTTCACAGATGAAAAGGTGTGAACGGAGAAATTTAGTCAGACTCAGTAGTATTTATTTTTGCTAACATGAACAATAAAGACGACATGGACAGTTCATGCAATACTTGTAAATTTTGTTCCTATAGCCCTCGGGCACAAAACCAGGGCTTCATGTATGATGTAGATGAGTGGTTTGCTACTGGACAGCACACCCAGAAGTAATACTTGCAAATTTTTTAACTTTTATATTTGTCTATTTTCAGGTGTATGTGTGTCTTAGTGTTGTATTGCTGTGAAGAGACACCATGGCCACAGCAACTCCTATAGAAGAAAGCATTTAATTGGGATGTGCTTAAAGTTTGAGAGGCTTAGTCCACGGAGGAGAGCACGGTTTTACACAGGCAGGCATGGTGCGTATAGAGGCTGGCAGACAGCAGGAAGGAAGAGACTCTGGGTTTGCGATGGGATTTTTTGAAACTTCAAAGCCCAGCCTCAGTGACACACTTTCTCAAGCAAGACCAGACCTCCTAATCCTTTCAAATAGTACCACTCTATTGATCCTATGGGGACCATTTTCATTCAAACCACAACATTCCTCTCTCCCTGTCCCCCATGGACTAGTGGCTACGTAATAATGCAGAATTTGTTTAGTCCAACTTCAAAAATCCCCCATAGTGCATCACAATCTCAATACTGTTTTAAAGATGAAAGTTAAAAGCCTCTTGGGAAACTCAAGACAATCTCTTAACTGTAACCTCTGTAAAATCAAAATTTAAAAAGCAGATCACATACTTCCAACATGCATTGGCACAGAATATGCATTGTCTTTCCAAAGGGAGGAAGGGTTGCATCATGAGGAAACAGTGTACCCATGCAAGACCAAGAACCAGCTGGATGAACTCCAGAACACATCTCCAAGTCTTATGTCAAAGCACTCCTCAGATCTCCAGCTCCTTCCAGCTTTGCTGACTGTAACACACTTCTCCCTCTGAGGCTGGTTCTGCTCCCTGCTAGCAGCCCCTTTCAGCAGGTGTTCCATGGTTCTGATGCCATCCAGATTTTTAGGATATCAGAATCACAGGAAGCATTTGAGCTCAACCTTTGTGGGGAGACTTCGATTCAGTCTTTAAGATGTGGTCAAGGAATTTACATTTGCAGGAAGATTTTGCTTTTATATAACATTGTTTATCTAGTGTGTGACATGCTTTTTTTTTCTTTTATTCAACAAACTCCCTCTGTATACTTACTTTTCTATATGTGCTTCCGGCTGCAATTTGAGTAATACCAAAAAAACATGGAAGGAGGTTGCCCATCATCTGGCCACTAGGGAGGATGAAGGCGTTTGCATTCTCGTAGGGCACTTTACCTTGTGAAGGCTATGAAGATCCTGGAGTTGTGCTGTGAACTGCCGCTGGCTCAGTGTAGCTTGAGTGAGGCTAGCACTCAGGATGGTGAATCAGGTGGATGATGAGTTCAAGGCCAACGGAGGCTACATGGCCTGACTCTGTCTCAAGAACAAAACAAAACATTCCTAAATAAATGACAACCAAACCTCCACCAAAATAAAAAAAATAAAATAAAAACTAACCTGAAAACAGGAGGTGACTAAGCCGGTAAGGTTTCTGTTGCAAGAGGATTTGAGTTCTGAACCTCAGTGCCAAAATAAAATCCATGAGCTGCTGATAGCATCTATAACACCAACAATGGGGAGGCAGGGAGACCAGGGGAGACCAGAGCTCATTAACCAGCCAGCCTAAACAAATCGATTGCATGCCTCAGCACAAGTATAGCATCAGAGAACAGCTTGTGGGAGTCTGATGGTTTCTTCCACTGTGGATTTTAGGGACTGAATTTAAGTTATTAAGCTTTGTCTTTTGCCTGCTGAGACATCTTGCTGGTCATTTATCTGAATTTGTGGCTGGTGGCTTCAGGGATTTTCTCCTGATAGATTCTTAGGCACATGAACAGGAAAGATATCTTTCTGAATCCAGTTTCAAAGTTCTGAAAGAAGGACCCAAAGGCTTCCCTTTCCTGAGCATAGACGTCACCAGTAAAACAGAAGACATGCTTGGCGTAGTCACAAGGAGCATGGACCACTTGAATCAGTTGTCCACCAGTCAGGCAGAAAATGTTGAAGCATGTTCCTTGTACACTGGCATTTTGAGAGAGATCTTGATCACATTTTTTTCCCACAGCACCCAGGGAGTAATTGACCTATAGACTGGTTGACCACAAAATCTGGTTCTCCTTAAGGTGCCAGGACACTCACAAGACAACTGTCTTCTAACAAATTCCATACACTTCACAATAGATAAGATGTCTCTAAGCACTTTTGGTTTTTAAAAAGTTGTGCAAGTAGGGTAAAAAATTTGGGTATCAGTAAATAAACTGAGCACATGAGAACATTTTTCCAGCAACTCTAACATGTGCTTTGTCTCTTGCAAGCTGGTATAGTAAGTCTCTTCTAGGGTAAAGCTGTCAGACTACACTTGGGAGGCAGAGGCAGGCAGATCTCTGAGTTTGAGACCATCCTGGTCTATAAAGCTAGTTCTAAGGCTGCAAGGGTTATACAGAGAAATTCTGTGTCAAAAAAAAAAAAAAGTAAAAAAAAAAAGAAAGAAAAAAGGATATAATGTGATATAGGTTCTTTCAGCGTATATAAAATATGTATGCATACATAAATACACATGTATATGTGTATGAAAACACACAAATGTATACACAATAGGCTTACATAGGGGTTTATGTTCCACTATTATAGTTTTAATAGAATTCTTGCTGGGCAGTGGTGGTCATGCCTTTGTCTCTCAAGTGCTCAACTTAAAGGCAGACATCACCACAGTCAGTTTCCATGATGTCTTTGAAGAAAGGAAAAGAAGGAAACGTGAAATCTTGAGTTTTATAATTTTGTGTTCCTCTTACATAAGTGGATTCTAACTTGGCTGAATCCAGATCTGGACTAATCTGGGAAGCTGCCGGATTACAGACAGAGGTGTTTAGCTGGAAATAGTAAGCTAGACCAGTTTGAACCTGTGGCCTGATGACTGGGGAGGGTGTGGCTACTGTTATTTGTTTAGAATAGAATTTGGAGAAATCCTTTCCTCTCTTAAAAGGGAAACTGCATTATCTTTTGTGAGTCTTTAACTGAAAAAAAAAAAAACTTTTTAATGATGGGAGGAAATAAATGAGCTTTAAAATCAAATGAAACTGGGCTTCTCTTGGGGATTATAAGTATCAACTTTATAAACCTTATGATATGAGACAATGAGAGATTTTAAGTTTTGAGTTTATCAGGTACTTAAAAGCAAAACATTTGTTGTTGCTGTCATCTGGAAGCTAAAAGAACATCCTTCAATGAGGTAACAGGAAAGTGAGTTTTGCTTTCTAGGGTTCCTCATCTAAACCAAATATCACTTAACATATGATTTTCTCTCACTCTTTCTTGGAGAGTTAAGATCAGCCAGTGTGCAAAAGGCAGCCAAGAATATGGTCAACTGTGTAGACCAAAGAGAAAGGAACCTCTTGGGTAACACCATTCTCAGAGGCCTATACTTCTCTAATGTACCAAGTCTAAGAAAAGCTGAGGAAGCTCAGAACATTAATTTTATGCATACCAAACAATGTTTAGAAATAAAATTTCCATAGAAAGCAGAGAGACCTGGATTAAGTCTTGGACTAGAGACTCAAAATCAAAACTCTAGAAAAATCTAAAGCCAAGAAAAATGAGATTTCCTTTCCAAAAAAGCCTGCATTTCCCTTGATGTAACTGACCTATAATTGGAAGGTATAAATGAAATTTAGTGATTTCAACTTCTGAACATAAGTCACCATGACCACACGTATGTAACTCAGGGCTAACATTCACTCAGATTACAGAGATATGACTGTGTGTTGTTTTGTATGTGTTTTTTTTCCTTTTGGTTTGTTTTTGTTTTTGAGACAGGGTTTCTCTGTGTTTCTTGGAACTCTCTATATAGAACAGGCTGGCCTCAAACTCACAGACCTCTTCCCACTTCTGCCCACCAAGTGCTAGGATTGAAGGCCTATGCCACTGGGCCAGGCTTTCACAGTATAAATATACGATCACTGCTCTTGTTCGGAGTCATAGACATTCCCATTGTTATGGGGGTCCATCTTGATTTGTTCACACTATGCCGTATTAGTTAGTAAGTATGTGATAGCATTATGATATAATTCAAATACTTATCACAGAGCCTGACAAGGTGGTACACACCTGTAATCCCAGCACTCAGGGAGGCAGAGGCAGGTGGATCTCTGAGTTTGAGGCCAGCCTGGTCTACAAAGTGAATCCAGGACAGCCTAGGCTACACAGAGAAACCCTGTCTCAAAAAAAAAAAAAAACAAACAAACCCAAATAAACAAAAAAACCCACAAAAACAAAAAACTTATTACAAAGTCAAAATTATTAATTCAAAATATTCCTTTCTTTTTCCAGATAGGGATTCTCTGTATGTAGCCTTGGCTGTCCTGAAACTCGCTCTGTAGACCAGACTGGCCTCAGACTCAGATATCCACCTGCCTCTGCCTCTCTGAGTGCTGGGATTAAAGGCATCTGCTAGCACTGATGTCCAGGCTTCAAAATATTTCTCATCTTAGTCCCTTTTGGGGTTTAGCCATGTAGCTTGGGCTGGTCTTGAACTCATTGCCCTCTTCCCCTAGCCCTCTGAGTACTGAAATTATAGATATGTACCACCATTTCCAGTTCAAAAATATTGCTGCTTATATTTCCTTTCCTCTTATTGTACTTGGTTTAACATGTCTTAACGCTAAGACGAGGCCATCCATGACACGTGTAACAAGCAGCATCCCTCCTTAGTGCTAAACTACACATCTTCTTATAGACATACAAGATGACTCAGTGAGTAAAGGCAGGTGTCTGCCAAGCCTGACGGCCTGAGTTCAGTCCCCAGGACTCACTCATATGGTAGAAGTAGAGAACATTCTCCTGAAAGCCCTCTGACCTTTATGTGTTGAAGGAGAACCTAAACTTTACTCTTCCTTATTTTGTAGCTCTGTGTGTCACCAAGTCTGTCGTGTTCTTTACTTTTCAGCTAATGTGTAAATCAAATGTGAATGCTCACCCTAGATTGAGTGGGACAATAGTTCCAGTGGAACTACAGGGACAATGCCTCACAGAAATCACGAAGAGCTAGCACACACTGGCTAAATCTAAGGCAACCATTGTAGCGAGTACTTTTTGTTGGTGGTGGTTTCAAAGGTTTGGTTTATTTTATTTTATTTATTCTTTTTAGATGTTATTTTTAATTATGTGTTCTCTATGTGGGTGTGTGCATGTGAATGCAGGTGCCCAAGGAGGCCAGGGGCATCAGATACCCTGGAGCTGAACGTAACGATGATGTGGGTGCTGGAATTCCAACTTGGGCCCTTTGCAAGAGCAACAAATACTCTTTAATGCCAGGCCCTCTCTTTAGCCCCTGTTTCTTTCTGTGTGTTTTGTTCGTCTTGTTTTGAGCAACGCATAAGGACCAAGCTAAGCAAGCAGTACTTACTTTGTCATGGCTTCGGCATCAGCTCCTGCCTCCAGGTTCCTGCCTTGTTGAGTTTCTGCCCAGACTGTCTTTGATGATGAACATTGATATGGAAATAAACTCTTTCTTCCCCAAGTTGTTTTGCTCATGACAGCATCAGGAGCCCTAACTAACATACCTTGACTGAGTTTCAGAGATTTCAGTCCATGATTGCTTGGCCAGTTGCTTCGGGATTGCAAGTTACAAATGCCATGAAGGATTCTTCATAGCCAGGATCATGTGCTGGGGCAAAGCTACTCATTTCATGGCAACCTGGAGGTGAAAGAGAGTTAGATGGCTGGGAAGATGGCTCAGTGTTATTGCTGCCATGTCTGATGAACTGAGTTTGATTCCTAGAACCTGCATGGTGGAAGGAGAGAAATGACTCCCACAAGTTGGCCTTAGACCTTCATACTTGTGCCATGGCACATATATGCATGACCACACAGATGAGAAAGAGAGAATCTGAGACTGAGAGAGATAGAGAGGGAGAAGAGCCAGAGTCTCATTATACCTAAAAACCGGACTTTCTTCAGACCACCAGCTCCCAATAACGACTTGGAGACTTTTTGTTAATATAAAAGCTTGGCCTTACCTTAGGCTTGTTCCCAACTAGCTCTTATAATTTAAATTAATTCCTTTGTTCTAATCTATATTCTACCAGGTGGCTCCTTACCTTTTCTCAGTCCCCACATCCTGCTTCTTTCTCTGAGGCTTGTCGTGGATTCCTTTGTGCCTGATTCTTTCCCAGAGTTTTTTGTTTGTTTGTTTGTTTTGTTTTTTTAAATCTCTTCCGAGAAGTCCTACCTATGCTCTCTCTTGCTTTGCCATTTGGCTCTTTATTAAACCAATCAGAAAGTGATAGAGAAGATGTTTACAAAACACTGAGATAGATGATGCTTCAGAAAAATAACAATACCAAAGTCCAGCCTGTTCTCTTTGTTGGTCCATAAATGAGCATTTGAATTCTACAAAGACAGCCTTTACACCGTGCATTTGAGATAACCCTGACAATACCCACCAAAGACACACACCCAATGATTGAACTCCCTTCCATTAGACCTCCTAATGTTCCCGTAACCTCCCACAGTACAATTGGGTGAGACCAAGCACTCAGTGAATGAGCTTTTGGGGAAACATATGTTACAGTATGGAAACTAGTGATACCATGATGGTAATTAGTACAGAGGTTCCTCAAAAGGCCAAACACAGAACTACTGTATGATCCAGCTCGAGGGATCTAGGTCAGCATATCAAAGAAATACACACGCTACAAACCCATACTCATGACAGCCGTGTCACAGAATCAACTTAGGTGTCCATCAATGGATAAATGGGTAAAGAACGTAATACATATGCACACACAATAGAGTTTCATTCAGCCGTAAAGAAAAGAGAAATTATGTAATTTTAGGAAAATGCACGTTTGTTTTCTTCCCTATAAGGCTTCCCCAGTTACCTCCAAACTCTGGAGGTCACCATATTAAGTGAAGTAAGCCAGAGTCAGACAGACAAGCACTACTATATGCTTTCTTTCATATGTGGATGCTAGATTTTATCACATTCACAGATGTGACATGAAGGCCAAATGGGACTGCTTTGGAAAAGAAATGGGTCTAACAGGGGGGACAGGGGAAACAGATTTAATAGGTGGTGAATATGGTCAAAGCATCTGGCGTGCTTCCACAAAATTTCCATTATGAAAACCATTACCCTCAATAACAAGTAAAAAAATAATTTTAATAAAAATCATTTCCACTTGACCATTTTATTTTCTGCTTATTTGCATATTTATGTAGGATGTATGTATTGTGTATGGGTGTTTTGCCTGTATGTATGTGCATCCTGTGTCTGCCGGTGCCTGGAAGGCGCAGGATGCTTCTAGAACTGGAATTATAGAGGGTTCAGAGGCACCCTGTGGGTGCTGGGAAGTGAACCTGAGTCCTCTGCAAGAACATCAAATGCTCTTAACCACTGAGCAATTTTTCTATCCCATATTCACTTTACTTTAATTTTATAATCTTTGTCATTTAAAAAATTGTAAATAAAAACATCACACCCAAGTTAACCAGACCCAAAGTCCATATAACTATAATACTATTTTTAAGCTGGTGGGAAAGGAAGATCCAGAGGCTGGGAAGATGGCTTAGTTGGAAAAGTGCTTGCTAAATAATTAGCCTGAGGACCTGGGTCTGGATCCCAGCACCATGTAAAAAGCTGATGTAGCAGCGTGTCTTAGTTTGGGTTTTCTTTCTGTGAAGAGACACCATGACCAAGGTGAGTCTTATAAAGGCAAACATTTCATTGGGG